AAATTTGAATAGGTATAAGTGCAACGAAAAGATGATTCATGATGCATTCAAAATAAAATCAACCCAACCTGTCAACTTCTATCCGAGCTGTCAACCAGTTATTTTAGAAGGCCTTTCCTACTTGACTCTGTCAATTGAATTATTCACGTGTTTGCTTAGGTGCATTTGTGGAAGTTAGGTTATTTTACCCTTGATGGGCGATACATAGTTAAGGCCTAGCTACTAGTTTTGGAAATGTCATAATATGAGAATCGTTCCATCCTCCAGATACTACTACATTTACACCGCTTTAGTTCAAACCATAAAAGTTTTAGGTGTACATGTTGACTGAAAATTAAAATAAGATTAGCATATATAACTTTTCACAAAAAACTTAACTCTTTTCTCTTTGCACTAAGTGTAATTAAAAATACATATACTGATATTTGAGAACTAGTATATTATGCCTACATTGAATCAAGACTTAGATACGGGGATACAATCCCAAGACAAAACAAACTTTATATAAATTATCATTGGAAAAAATTTACTATAGCATCATAGCAGATTTTTTTCTGCATGATCTCTAAAAGTAGATTGTACCACTCATTAAATAAAATCTACCGCAAAAATTACTGTAGTCAAATCGAATGCAGGTAATAGCCTGCCCTGATACAGACCAGATTGGTATTTCTTTATGTACCGTAGTTTAAGCCTGGTTTTAAAAATTTCCAGAAGAGCACATTTTTTTTCATTTGTAATATATTTACTTTTTGATGTTTTAATTGTAGTTGGTGTTATCATAATGAACTTTGACAAAACTGCTATCTATGTTCATTGTACTACAAAAAAGATGTTATGACTTAATAACGAATTTGAATTTCATATCACCAACATGGAACATCAGAATTAAGCTACATCACATAACGAGATGACCTGTGTGCAAATTTGTATTTTAATTGAGTTCGAAACGAGCTTCCGGGGCAAAACAAATAATGCAATACAATTTTACTTTTACCGATTATGTTTCTTTGAGACAGTTATTATATGTGAATAAACTACTACAATAAATTTATTTCTTTCTTTTATACATACTATAAAAGAATGAGTGATTTGCCTATAACAGTTTACAGTTACCAATAAGTAGCCTATTTGAAAACAATCATCATAACTGTTTCGTCTCCTGTGTACAATCTTTGATTCAAATGGTTCAACTGAAGGATCAGTTGTTCACATTTGAATTACTTTATAACGTAAAAAAGAAAGTTGGTCAGCATCACAGAATCTTCAAAAACTAAAAGGGTGCGCAGTCTTAAAGGAAATTACCTTTTTCCTACAGTCACCCGACAAAGTTGGCTTCCTTGTACTGTTTATAGTACAGAAAGCTGTTAATTGCTGCATATTTATACTTTGCCGTACGGTTTATACTTTGCCGCACATCAGGATTCCAACGAAACAACACAAAACGGCGTGGTTCTATTGTGCACGTAATCCGTGTACGCTTGGAAATAGGTTGGCAACACTTAAAGATAATAATACTATGAGCAGCTGATTGACTATTATAACTTCGATTTAACCTGTCATTTCTTGTTTATAGTTTCGGTATTTCTGAACTTCCTGGACTTTTCTTTTAAACGTTTTTAAAACATTCCTACGATCTTAATAAACAAAAAAAATACATGTAAAGCATTTTTTAGGCGCGGAAACCACTTCAAATTACAAAAACATACGGAACTATATTCTCAAAACGCGGAGCACATTTCTTGCCGAGGAAAAATAGCGGAGTGATACGGACCGCGAGTACTACTTTCTCTAAGGGCACCATTTGTGTTGCCAGCTGAATCTAAAAACGTGTTGTATAGTGTTTGAAAGACTAATTATTTATATGATTTATAGTGACTGTAGGAAAAATATAATGTGTAACACGAGTGAAAAAGGCCTTTGCTGCACTCGAGATCATTCCGCACTCGCCTGCGGCTCGTGCGTAAACATTGCTCTCGTGTGCAGCAAAGTGCCACTTTCACCACTAGTTACACAAATAACTATTGCGTTACAATTTGTCACTCCGCTGAAGCATAAGCTTTCAAACAAAAACTCTATGGTAAAATTTATCTAAGTAGGAGGGATGAAAAGAGGTTTTACAGAGAAGCCATTTATTTTAATAAGTATATACGAGATGGATGAGAAGAATACTTGCACTATAAAAGTTGTGTGGTTGGTGTAAGTGTTAAGCAACATTCTCTCAGTTTAATCTCGAGTGTGGAGAGTGGGGAGAAGTGTAAGCGACGTCTTGTGGTATCATGTCAACGTAAACATGAACTAACGATAACTCAACAACACCTGTCTAAGTTAAACAAGCAAGCGGGATGATCGTACTTAGCTTAGGTTGGCTCAAAGAAAATTGATGTTTTATGTCTTCTCTCATCTTTAAAGCTGTTTAGAATAAGGAACACCTTTGTTGAAATGGTTTATTCAAGATAGAGGTTTCAATTGGATTGTTAACGTGTATGGAAACAGACTTGAGTTAAAATAAAGATAACACTTTCTACCTATGTTTATAAAACCACACGTTTGTCTGTTACTTTAAGTTCCAATAATGCATTCCAGCATTTATGCATTTCCAAATTATCCATTCAATCGACGTAACCATTAAAGGTAATTTTGACAGGTAAAACAAATTGATACCTTAGATCAGTGAAGAACTGGTCCAAAGGTTTTAAACCATGAAATTGCTTTTTCCGTCACGATTCGACACTAAGATAAAATAACACATAAATCTTAAAAATCTGTGAAGTTGGCACCCTTGGCTATTGTTAGTTCTGAAAACCGTTCTGATTTCTACTTCATTTTGGTAACGCGTGTACGAGCTAATGCAGTACGAATTTCTCTCATTCAAAAGGTAAAATGTGTGTTTCGCTCTTTGCTAATATTTCGGAGGACAGGTCATTGTTTATAAATGTTTCAATATAGTTATAATAATTATAAATTAGTTTGATGAAAAAGAAGCGAGCAGTAAATTGAAAAACTTCCTCTTCAGGGCAAAAACATACTTTAAATTTTCCTCAGCCAGAGGACAATAAATCTATGATTGAGTTTGTTAAATTGTCTGGTTACAGGTCTCGCCTTCAAGTGTGAAAGTCGACGATTCGGTCCCTAGCGTAGTTAATTGTGACTCCAATTTTTTGGGGGGATTTTTAGTAATGTTGCTATTTAACAAATTTCGACGAGAGATGGTTACAAGTATAGGTTTTGGACCGGTCCCTTAAGTAAATGCCAAAATACCATTGGCGTTAAAATACAAAAGCGTTGTTGGCCATACACACTATGCTCGCCAAGTTTGACAAACGTTATCTTATCTAAATAACTTGAAGCACATGAGAGATTTGTGTATGCAGAATTATGGAGAATGAAAGATGACAACAGTTACGCATGTCAGCTTCTGTCGCTGGCATATTAGCTCAAAGATCATTCATCACTCGTCTTCGGTGATGAGAAGCATCCAGATTGTACAAACGATTCACATTGGTCTTTCAGTTAATACTCGTACTTATGATTGTGGTTAAAGCTTTCGGTGGTTACGTATCTATAAATATTGCAGTAGTCTTACCGATGTTAATTGGTCGTTAAAATTGCTGACTTATAGTAATAGTGTAGTAATAGTTGTTATTCTATATTAATGATAGATTAATTGCGTTGTGAAATGTGTTTTACGAGATCAATGTTTGAAAATGATTTGGTTTAAGGAACAATATAAAAAAATAATACTAATCTTTCTAATATAACACATAGACTGGTAAAAGCTCAAAGTTTGAAGCCAGTCTACTGTCAAAGCGATGAGAATAGATTAGTAATGGACACCGTGATAAGACAATATTTAGAGGCCCACTTCTTGGGCAGGGATGTGCGGCAATGAGACATGTCCTCGTGGGCGGGTTGTCTCAGACTATTGAAGTCTCCTGGTCAAAGACATTTGAGAGTATCTTTGCCTACCAAGGGTTTGATCCTGTCAATCCTGTCAACTATGTTCTTTGAAAAGTCACAGTTGGCCAAATATATACCAGGGAGCACTTAGCGTAAGAAAGAGGGAGAGACTACTGTGATACTGCCTGAGAAGACCGACTTTGCTGAGTATCTGCAAAGTCCTCAAACTGCAAAGTTGGTTAGTTATTTGTCGGTGTCTACTGCCTTAGAGGGACAAATATGAAGAAGATCCTTGGGAAACTGCCAAACGACATTTCTAAGTTCGTCATCCGCAAGTGCAACAGATATGCAATTGATAAGGATTCAGCAAAGAGGCCAGCAGGATCTTCTCTAGCTAGAGAAGTTATGACATTGTACAGAATATAGCTTGTGCTCCTAGTTCCGTTTGTCAATACTATCATGCCGGAGCTGCCAGGCATTGTTGACGCTGGCATGATCTTTCCAAAAGGACTGCTACACAACATGATCTCGGCAGTGTGGCTCAAATCAGGTGTTTAAAATCCCTTTGAGAGGTTTTCTACTACATCGCCCACATGGTTGATGAGAAAGTGGATTTAAAGAAAGCAACTGACCCTACTGTCCTGATGAATTCACAGTTGAATTCACTGAAATCTGAATTTTACTCAATCGAGTTCAGAGTCAGGCAGATGGTTTAGAATGGAGCAGGGGTGTTTGGTGAATGACAATAGTTACACACTTGCAAACCTCAGGGTTTAAGACGAACTGCCGGAATTGTTCCAGTTTTGGGTGGGGGTAGATGCTGGTGTCCGGTTCAAGGTCCAATGAAATATTTTCCAGAAATCAAAGGTGAATGTGTATCTATTTTATGTGCCATATGCCTGACATAGATTGGGAATAAATTTACTGAAATAGTTCGTGTAGTTTAAACGTTTCCATTTTAATGTTAGGAATACGTTTTTTTTACAATTAAATTAAGTCAATTAATGAATTAATGCAAATGGAGAATTTTGAGTGTTTTTAAATTATTTATCAAATATTGTCGGTTCATACAGTGACACAGACTCCTTAACCTTTTTCAGACCATGCTGTAGGAGCATGAAGACGACGATTCTGTACCCGTATGCAACTCTGTATAGCGGCCGCGGATGTCTCAACTTCCACGCCAAACACGCTGCAATTACTGGAGGAGTATATACACTGGTGAGTAAACTAAAACGTGACGAGTAACAAACTGGAAGGCAAGTGCACATTGGCGAGTAACATCTATACAAAATCCAGGCAAAAGAAATACGTTAGGGGTTTGGAGTAATTTGGTGTCAGGAATTATGTAATAGAGGGACAACACTAAGTATGAACATTATTTTGTCTCTTGTCCTTTTCCTTGTTTTTCCTTTAGTTCACAATTAAAAAAAAAACATACTGTAGGACCAATACCATCAGGGCTCTGTTAGTTTAAAACATATTAAAAATTTGCAACAATAAGATAACAACAACAAGATAACAGCAACTTATCATGACTACACTTTGTCACACTCGGGTTGACCGATGGACCCGAGAATACCTGATGGCGAGATATAGCGAGGGATTATAGGGTTGGCCTCAGATAGTCCAGGGTCCATCGGCCAACCTGAGTTTGACAAAGTGTAATTACATTCACGGTATCATCTAGGAATCTTTCACATAAATTAAATAATAAATAGCTTTAACTCTTTCATTCAGGTTGAAAAGCTAGCCATAAACTGATTAGGTGATTAGTTTATTGATGAACTAAGTACAAGGAACTATGGTAAGGATACTTTTAACCATATCCTAAAGTCCTGCTTAAACACTGGCAATTTCAAATTGTAATCAGTTTGTGCTATTTAGCATTATAAAATCATTATTATAATCGAGGAAAAATTGATTGACGAATTTAAATAAATCCTAAAAGCAACCTACAAAGTAATTTTAAACAAGTTAATCTCTTCGGTAAAACTATTGAAAATACCATATACACCTTATAACAACATCGAAACAACAACAAAAAACATAAGACATTGTTATGTTATTTAACGAAATCTTCTATATAATAACGCACCAGAATTCTGTTCTAAAATATCAATGATGTGAACTGTTAGTATTGGATTTTTTTATTGCAATACATATTATCTTAATGTTATTTTTCAGAACATATCAATACTGGTCGTGCTGATATACAGTTGGAGAATAAGCACGAATTTTAAGAAGTTTTCGGATCTCCAAGATGTTTATTATGGTATGTTGAAAGAAAAAAAACATAACGTACTTAACGTTTTACTTATATTTTTGAATATGTTAAGTCAAGCGGTAATTATATTTGATGCTTGTATTACTATCGAAATTACAGAATCGTTTTATTATTATTTAAAATGATACAATGAAATATATTTTATATAAATGACGAGGTTAAATCTGTGGGCCATATTTTTGAATGTTTTTACATTTTCCAAAAGTTGTATTTTTAGATAGGCCATTTAATTGAGATCATTTACCTAAAATTGTTTTCTAATCTGACAACTCCTTCTAGTATAAAATAAATAAAATATAAAACGCCACAACCAGGAAATTAACAAAATTTTGGACTTTTCTTTTTGTTCCTGATATTTACACTTTTAATTTTGTATCATAATTATGTATAATGAAGGTATAAAGTAGAGTACATTTATTTAAAACGAAATAAATACTTTGCCATTTTTATATTTAAAACAAAATAATAAATTAGGGTAGTTATAGGAATTTTACTTCTGCCAACCAGCTGTTACATCACCTGCGATTATCTCAATTCCGTGTTTTAGGTTATTATTGTACAAAAGTTAGAATAACTCCTTTAGCTTTATAGTTATAGTATTCAAATTTTCACCAGCGATTTGTTGTATAGTATTGAAGGATTGTGTGTATAGTACACCCTGTAGCATTGCTTTTACTAAAAATATTTACGTTTACGCTAACAATTTTTTCAGTTTTTTTAAATATTTTTAATAAAGTGTCCTAAAATGTTGTTATTTGAGTTAACATAACGATTATACACAGGATGACTCATTATTTCATTCTGGATCAAGAAATAAATAGAATATGTCATTCCGTTCAGTAGTTGAAGTTATTCTCAATACCGAATTCTAAAATAATTCTGTGAAAAAAACTAAAAACACATATAAATTTAGTAAATAAGTCATAAATTCAATATTTTTGGACCTAAATCTTCAAATTAAGTCGAGTATAAACAAAATATACTAATTAGGTTTACAAAAATAAAAATAAAAAAAGTTGGAGATAGTGGCGTATCCCCTTAATAATTTATAAAAAAAAATAAAGTGGACATTTTATTAACTATGCATTGCATAACAAATTGAACAAATAAGTATTTGAATATTTTACTGTTACTGTATATTGATAAACAATATATTTATTTTTCAGGTGTCCAGATAGCATACTTTGCTATTATCGGTACTCAATTGTTCATGATCATTTTGAGTATTGTTTTGTTCTTCGGAATATACAAGGTAAGTTTAGGATAGTAGTAGTAAACATCAATACTGGATATAATTATTAGATTTTATGAATTGTTTTTAAATCGTTGATATTAAATCGTTGTTACGATCGACTTTCTTTTATCTTTTCCTAGCGTAGAGTATTTTAATATTCAGGAAATGTGTAGGCTTACTAAATATTTTTATAACCACTATGTGTTTAATTGAGTATATTTATTCTTCATTTTTAGCATATAAAAGACATTTTTATTTAGAAAATTCATAATAAATTGAAAATAATTTGCAATTAAAAATAATTATTATGAAAATGTGTTTAAACAATATTTTTCTTGGCTTAGTTTTATATTATAATAATGTTATCATAAAACTGTTTTTCATGCGTTTACCAACAATAAAATGCATGGAAAACAACTTCAACTTCAAACATAATTTAAATTTACAATTCCACAATCTAGAGAAAAAGGAAATTTTTTGAATATTTTAAACCGAGGAAGAACGAAACGCGAAGGTATGTGTGAGACCAAAACTAATTACAGTCTGACTGCCTACGCCCGTGACATTTTAAATGTATTTTTCCAGTTAGCATGTGATTTGTTTTACGCAGACACTTGAAAATCACCAGATATTACGCCTTAAATATAGGCGTCAGTTTAAAATCTTTTAAGCTTAATAATTGCCTAATTTTTATTCCTATAAATGATTTATATGAAGAAAATATTATGTGTTAATAGATTATCGTGATGAGTATTTTCGTAAATTCGAATGAAAATTCTTTAAAATGTCAACAACCCTCGAAAAAATCACTTTAAAATTATTTACATCTATAATTGTATTTTCTAATTAAGTTTTTTTGCCAACCGTTTATTATTGAAGCGCTATGTGATGCGCCACGAATCACGTGACCTAAATGCTACCAAGTAGAACTCAAAACATGCCTATACTTGAAACCACTTTGGGAGAAGTGAGAAGACACGCGGCCATTTTCTGTTAGACCATCTCTCGTTTAAAAACATTGTATAACTTAGTTTGAAGTAGTGTTTCCAAGTTAATATTTCAAGTATCGTTTACAATAAAAAAATTTTGCTCATTTATCCGTCTGATTTTCCAGTTTGTTTTCTGAATTCCAAACAGGCTAACTCAAGGTGGAGTAATGGAATAATCTGCATTTTATTGAGTTTAATATACCTTGTTGACAAAATTGGGTCAACTTATAATTCAAAACTGTATGAATTAAACTGATTTTGTCCTTATAAACCTTAACCTCCTTTATATAGCTTTCTTATCTTTAGAATTAATTTTGAATCAATGGTAAGTTAAAAAAATTAACATACTTTATTACTGCGTGTCTTTCAAAGGGTGTATTTGAATTACATTTTTTGGGTTTATGTAGGTAAAATCGTCCATTTTCAAGTTTAATTTTAAACCACTTAGTTATACAAAATTGAAGCTGGGTAAAAGTTATTATAAGTATGACTATAGCAATCATAGTATTTGGTTAACACTTAAGGCTAGAGTCGAAAACAGCATTCAGGACCTTAGAATCCTTTAATATACAAAATTCCCTAAATAAAAATTATTTTTACTGTACAATATTTGCATAATTTTGTTCACAGTCAATAAATAAAGCTAATCTAAAATTTTCATTGTAAAAGAAGTGATTTGAGACTAAGCTTACATTGTGTAAATCTTCTGACCACGGCCAGCTCAGCTGCGATCCCTAACATAAACGGCTTAAATCAGCTTAACCTGGACCCGGCCTAACCCTCTGCCGTGGTATTCCAAATTGTCTCTGATTTACAACTGACCCAATTGCCTGAGGTTGGATGAAAAAGAAGTTCTTTAGCTTTTCAGCTTTCAATAAATACACAATATTGAGCTGGGCACAGTTTGTTTTTAAAGCGAATAAAGGTACTGGAGTAAGCACGCACATTCAATGTTTTCCAGCAGTTCCAATCAGAACAATCAGAATGTAGCATGTTTCTCGCAAAAAACAATTTTCAACCACCCCACTTCAGGAAGAATGTTATATCCGTTTAGCTTCGTTGTCAGTTTACTCATATGACACACGCATTCAAAACATGATACGTTTTCTCAAAACAGTGTTTTGCATATGTAATCTGTGTACCAAATTTAAATTTACTACAAAAATCAATCATCAAATAATAATTATTTTGTAAAAAAACAAAATGGCGGCTGAACAGGTAATTTTTGTGTTATTGAAATTTTAAACATTATATTTTAGTTTGTTTTAAGTGCAGGAATAATACCGTGAAAGGCCGGTAGGGAGTTTGGGAACACCCTATAGCTCAACATCCTGAGGAAAATCAGTGGATTTGTTTTATGATTAATAAGATGTTTTGAAACGGAGGCCACTCCTCTTTATCACTGCGTCTTAAAAAATTGTTTTGGCTAATGAAAAACATATTCTTAGTCAGTGACGCAGTACCACATTATAACACGAATAGACTTTTATTATTATTTATAATTATAGTATATTATGTTAAGTTACTTATATTGACCTGATTCGCTCTGTAAAACAATTATTCGTACTGAGAGACGCACATTTTTTTTTAATTTTTATCTATTTATAATACGGCTTACGATCCATATCTTAACGTAATGGTATATATCGATCTGTTGTACATATAAACTGTTCATTGTAATGGAATTCTATGTTTGTTGTTTGCAGGAGAACGGAGGCCTAGTCGTCCCTTGGATCATTGGAGCCATCACGTTTACGTCGTTGGAGGCTGTGGCTATGGTCTACTCAAACGTCTTGAGAGACCATGTCAACCGGGTAAGAAAGTTGGGATGGTCAAAGAATTAGTATTTTCTTTAGTTATTTTTTTTTTAATATTCCCAGTTTTGGTTGCTGTATGGGGAAAACAATTGAGCAATGAATTAATTGATTTCCTCGTGTGTTCCTTCTTTTCCGTATCTTTTGGATAAACTATTTTAGGTTTATTTAAACATTCTGCGAAATCTCTGTATATTTATTCCTTAGGTGTAGAAAATCACAAAACACAATGTAGATGTTTGGGTTGAAATAATTGGTATTGTGTTTGTGTGTCCGTTTGTTATCTTTATGTTATTTACAATTGTCGTCACAATTAAATTTTTACGCAATCTTTTTATATAATACTACTCCAAATAAGAGCGTTATACTTACATCAAAAAACTACCTCTTAAGTCATTTGATGAGAAATTTTACAAAAATCGTAAACGTTTTAGAAAGTGTAAAGATATACTCTTGCTTTAGGCCGATTTCCGTGCGAATTTCTAGCTACTTAACCGAAGGAACAAACAAAGTAGGTTCAGGGAGCTCATATACCACATATACTTACATAACTGTTTACATTGTTTCTTTCCCACACTATAGTTCAACATTGACGGATATAAAATATTTTATATTCTTTAAGAATAAATTAAACACCCAAACCGTCAACCTTCAATAACTAATTACCTTTAAGTTAAAATACAAATACTCGTATCTGCTAATACACTAAAGCTTTGTAGGGCATCTGCAATCATATACAGGTATACTTGAAGTAAAATCATCACAATTGTATGTATAAACTGTACAATATGTTTGAAAGACCTGTGTAATATGTTTATAAAAAAATTAAAATCCTGCAGGAGTGTCATATACATTTATGAACGTTGTTTTATTTACGTTATCAATCTATCGAATCTTTATTTCCAAGTTATAATTATAAAGTTAAAACTAGTTTTATTTCAAAACAATCCTTAATCGAGTTGAATTTATGATGGTGTTGAAGAAAATCAGAAGGCAAAAGGTCTAAGAATCAAATGTTATATAACTTTGTATGTAAACGTACATACAACACATACTATACGTACGTACATACATGTATGGCTTAAAGATTACTTGCTAAATTACTAAAATCTCGATATTCAAAGTAAACAATGGAAAACGATTTATAACCAAGGTGAAAGCAGTAAAACAGCGATGGGATGTTCATTTCCAACCTCATTACAATAGAAGGGAAAACAATGAAATGTCATTTGAGATATTGTTCCCGCCACATAACAATATCTTCCAGTCAATAAGGCAAGTTACTTTGCCCCAGACTGTGACAGCTTAATTCGCACTTTATCACTACAAATATTATTCGTGGTATTTAGGTTAAAATTTAGTGATTTTTTGCCTGGAATAGTGATATTCAATATAATTAGGTTGTATTTCAATTTAACTAATTCCAACTTTCACGTGTGGCCAAGGCGCTTTACCGAGATATTTTTTAAATGTTACGCTTCTTTCAACCCTTCCCTAAAAAAAATTGAAATTTCCCGGAGTTTTTATACAAAAATTCACGTATCATTATTGTTAGTACTACAAGGTGTGCTACAAACGTTGATCTTTGATATTTTAAAAATCAAAATTATTCGACGGATTATATTCTATGAGCTCCGAATTGAAACTAAGCAAGAATATAATAACTAACGTCAATGTTTCATATTCAAAACTATTACATTGTAGCTGGAATAAGAGGCTAGTTTTCTGTAGGTGTTTTTAACTCATACAGTCCACGAAGGGGGTCAAACCTTACTTAAAATGTTGACCTCTTCCATCCACTAAAATACTATGCACAGTATGTAAGCATGCCTAATGCAATTATATTGTTCTGCAATTTCAGTTACTCGATTCAGAATCAGGTATTTAGTAAGTTAAACACTTTAACCACTCCTTTTAAATTAGTTGACTTTAAAGTATCTCTTTCCTACATTTTACCTTGTTTTACATCTAGATTATTTTCTCAATATTAATATGGATTTAACTTTATTACGGTCCCGGCCAGTGCTAACGGTCTATGTTTCCCATGGGTGATAATTCCCATGGAGGGACTTAAGGGACCTAGTTAGCCAAAGGAGAGTAGCAACTATATTTTTAATTAATTATACAGTATAAACAATTGTATAATAAAACCTTTATAGATTTGGTGAAAGATAAGATACTGTAAATGTTAGTTTAAGAAAATTACAATTTACTGTCAAGAATTTCATAGACTGTAAAATTAAATATTCCTCAAACTGAGCCCATTTAAAAATGCAATCACTCAAATGTAAGTAAGATAACCTGCAATTTCTCTAGCTGATTTAGTATTTTCTGATGGATATATTGTAGTTTCATAATATAGGTTCAAAAATCCTGGGCGAGAGTTTTGTATATGGTTATAGCATGAGTTTGAGCTGTAAATATAACAGAAAATATTTGTTAACTAAATTCTGGTTAAATGTCTCTCAACCCTAACTTACTGTCACATTCAATTTCTAAAAAAATCGATAGTTAAATGTTTTTAAAACATGCGTTTTCTATACTTAATATTTAGCGGTCTTCCTGATTGTCTTTGAATGTCAAAAGCCTACATAAGTACAACATAGACTGCTACTTTTAGTTGTTAGGATTTACGTTATCGTTCTTATATTTTTATTAATGTAATTTATTAAATTGCAGGAGTTTGACGCACTATGTAAAGCAGAAGTAGCTTTCTTCCTGGCTCGAGCCGTTTTGAACGTAAGTGCAATGGTATTTTAACTAAATGTAATTTTAACATAGACTTTCAATACAGATTTTTCTTTGGAGGAAACTCTTGTTGTATTTATGAATTTCATCGGATAAAGTAAGGTAAAATAATGACGTTAGAAAATAATTGAATATTCATCAGGAAATTATAAATGGTGGAACATAATTGAATGTTAGTGTTACAAACTCGGATGTTCACATTACTTTTCCTATAGAAATCTGATTCTAGCCTTTGCGGCATTGATACTATAGTAAATAGTACAGCTTTATAATGGAACACAGCCAGCTCGTTTATAATGAGTAAACTACCGCCTCTACTACAGATGCGTGTTGTTGTTTCATGTTACAAGATTTGTCTATATACGGTGTGTTGAGGTTCTACAACATGATCAAAGCTGGAATCACCTGGAAGGGACCTGAGGTTATAGAACTGTGATACCAGGTAGCTGGTAGTCTACCGCACACTACAGTTGTGTGTTGCTTTTTCATGTTATAGGGTTTGTCAATATACGGTGTATTGAGGTTCTACAACATGATCAAAGCTGGAATCACCTGGAAGGGACCTGAGGTTATAGAACTGTGATACCAGGTAGCTGGTAGTCTACCGCACACTACAGTTGTGTGTTGTTGTTTCATGTTACAGGGTTTGTCAATATACGGTGTATTGAGGTTCTACAACAAGATCAAAGCTGGAATCACCTGGAAGGGACCTGAGGTTATAGAGCTGTGATGCCAGGTGGCTGGGAGTCTACCGCCTACACTACAGTTGTGCGTTGTTGTTTCATGTTACAGGGTTTGTCAATATACGGTGTGTTGAGGTTCTACAACATGATCAAAGCTGGAATCACCTGGAAGGGACCTGAGGTTATAGAACTGTGATACCAGGTAGCTGGGAGTCTACCGCCTACACTACAGTTGTGTGTTGTTGCTTCATGTTACAGGGTTTGCAAAAAACGGTGTGTTGAGGTTCTACAACGTGATCAAAGCTGGAATCACCTGAAAGGGACCTGAGGTTATAGAGCTGTGATACCAGGTAGCTGGTAGTCTACCACCTACACTACAGTTGTGTTGTTGTTTCATGTTACAGGGTTTGTCAATATACGGTGTGTTGACGTTCTACAACATGATCAAAGCTGGAATCACCTGGAAGGGACCTGAGGTTATAGAGCTGTGATACCAGGTAGCTGGTAGTCTACCACCTACACTACAGTTGTGTGTTGTTGTTTCATGTTACAGGGTTTGTCAATATACGGTGTGTTGACGTTCTACAACATGATCAAAGCTGGAATCACCTGGAAGGGACCTGAGGTTATAGAGCTGTGATACCAGGTAGCTGGTAGTCTACCACCTACACTACAGTTGTGTGTTGTTGTTTCATGTTACAGGGTTTGTCAATATACGGTGTATTGAGGTTCTACAACATGATCAAAGCTGGAATCACCTGGAAGGGACCTGAGGTTATAGAACTGTGATACCAGGTAGCTGGGAGTCTACCGCCTACACTACAGTTGTGTGTTGTTGTTTCATGTTCCAGGATTTGTCAATATACGGTGTATTGAGGTTCTACAACATGATCAAAGCTGGAATCACCTGGAAGGGACCTAAGGTTATAGAACTGTGATACCAGGTAGCTGGTAGTCTACTGCCTAGACTTCAGTTGTGTGTTGTTGTTTCATGTTACAGGGTTTGTCAATATACGGTGTGTTGAGGTTCTACAACATGATCAAAGCTGGAATCACCTGGAAGGGACCTGAGGTTATAGAGCTGTGATACCAGGTGGCTGGCAGTCTACCGCCTAGACTTCAGTTCTCTTCACCAGAAAGTTGCAGTAGCGATCAAACCTCAAGTCGGATCTGGGAAGATCTATGATATTATGGACAATATTCAATTTATATGCATTATGAGGCTCTTCAAATTATGAAAATTCATTGTTTCATAACGCATACAGCTTAAATGCTAGTTATTTTTTGCATTGTTAGATGCTAACTTGTATATTTTGTTCACAACCGGGTTGTTTAAGCCGCCTAGAACTGAATTCCAGACATAAATCTCTATATTTACCGAAATACTTCATGCATTTTTTAAATTGTTTTTCAGTTCTCCCTGACCCATATAGTTGTTTATGAAAATAGTAGTCTGATTAATCATTTTTCCAGTCCAAGATTAATTCTAGTACCCATTTGTTTCGTCTATAAAACAAAAACCTCCAGAACTGAGTTGAATTAGTTTGAATATTCTTTTGAACTGACGTTTTTGCCTGTTTTACCAAAGTATTCATGAAATAATATTGGTATTGAACAATATTGAAGGATTATGTTTTATGGTATATTTGAATTGACGTTGAAAAGCTTCGTGGATATATTCCGATTGTGGTTGTGGGTACGATAAGCTGAATTGCTGCGTTTAAATTCCACAGTACTCAAACCTGGCCTCGTTTAAAAACGTTTTGTTAAAACTACGCTTTTTAGTGAGATTTTTTAGATAATTGAAAATGACTGTGTATGTAAAAACCGAATGGTTTTAGGGGTTTAACAAAATCATTGAAATTTGTTTCAATGAAATAGGCTTATTTGCCATTTACTCTTTAATGGAACTGTTAAAAAATTTGCAATCATATTAGAACTCAACGTTGGTCTTAAGTTAATTGGATTTCATGAAAAGTGATGACGACTACTAAAAGTTTTAGTGAAGTAAGGAAAAATGTATAACCGAAAAGCCTTGCCCGAACCACACGGTACCTAATATGTAGCCCAGTCATATTATTATATGTATGTATGTTGTTATATGTATGTTATATTATATGTAGGCTGACAATGCAAAAAATAACTTGTTTTTGATATAACCATTAAGAATCATGCGCCATGCATTACTTATAATTTGATAAATGTGAAAAGTGTAAAAGTATTCCTAGCTTTGACGTTAGTATTGTAAACGTGCCTTAATTTATACGTAAGTATTTGAAAGTCAGATATTTAAAGCGAGTAGGGTTAATAATAGTTGTGTCAATATGCACAAAATTGTACTATTACAAAATCCCTTACAGATTATTATAATAAAGAAAATTTGGACATCCAGTAGATACAAGCTTAAGCTACAAATATACTCGCAATTTGTTTGTTATAACTAAATCAAAACAAATAGAATTAAAAAATATCATAGCTTCATCCATAAAAAATTACGGTTCTAAAAAGTTCTTGATTATACGGGTTTTCGGGTTTTAATCTTTAATATTTCTTATCTAGATGATTGTAACTTTAAAACAGTTATTTTAATATTTTATTATTATTAGAATCTTAGTTCTTTCATTTTTAAATTTATTTGTACTGTATATACTTTAAATGAAAATATTTGTCCTTATCATTATTTATGTAGTTTGTCGTGTTAGATGTGTACAAATTGTGTAACATAAATAATTAAATGGTTCTGATAACCAGTATAGATAGCTTGTATGTTCGTAGTATGCTTGTATATATTTTACAGTTACTTTGTACAAAATGTAAACTATTGTTATAGAACAAAACTGTGGACAGTATATTTTAAACATCTAAGTTGTATACAAATTGTATGTGAGTGATACATAGGTAAAACACTGCTGTGTATGGTTATTTTTCCCCTTTCCCAACGTCGGTTGCCCGAAAACAAGGTTTAAAAAATTAAAACATAAAACATACTAGGTAACAGCTAAATTAATAAAATAAACAGATATGTTTATTATATATGTTATATTAATTGAAATAGCCAATTAAAAATTGTGACAAATAGTAACATTAATTATGGCGAAAAAGTTATGATTTGAAAATGGTGACGATATTTTAATACTCTTTTTTAATACGATATTTCATGTTTAATTAAAGTTAATTGTGTTTTTAAAAATATATTTTTGAAACTATTGCCATGTAGCCGCAAGGTAGTACGCTCAGAATTATTAATGAGTTTTGAAATTAAAAACGAGATTAACTCTCAATTTTCAATGCATCAAAGAGCATATTTATAACCAAGTATCATCAGGAATAAAATTAACAATTTATTTCACTTTACAGTTTATAATTATATTTTCTTTTTTTTTATCGATGCAGTAAAATGCGTAGTAAATTCTAAGTTTAATGGATGTATAATTTTTGTAGTAAAAGAAATAATAACTGTGACGAAAATCTGCAAAATTTTTAAGATTTTACTTACTGTAACTACTAGAACCAATTCCTTAGTTTATTGTGACCAAATGATTAGAAATTAAAAATGTATTTTTCTGCAGATATGGTTATGTTTGCTATATATGCCTGTAACATCCAGTAGAAATAGAATATAAGGTTATAGAAGTCACTGAACTCTAATTGCTATTTGTCCAACACAAGTTTTTCCTTTACAAGTTTTTCTCCTTTTTTGTTTTTATTTACTCTAACAGCGTTATGAATACATAATTTTTATTTGTCATGAAAACTGAGTTATTTTTCGCTTGTCTTTTTAAGGCTATACAACTTATCTGAAACATTAGTTAAATTGTGCATAGAAACATCATAGCTAAGTAGATTGGTGATGCTTATTACGCTTAAACGTATAAAATACCAGTTAATTTTTGGACTTATACTTGGAACAAAAATAAATAACTCATACTTTAGTTAAACTAACAACTAATCCAAGGACATTAATTCAAGTCATCAAAAAAGTCAAAGCTTTCGTTAACCATTTAACAGCTGACAACTAAATGTTTAAATAGACGTAACGTTATTCAAATGAGGAGAAAATTGAATCAGGGATCAACAATGATTTAAGGGATTTACAGTGTAGGTCACGTAGAACTCGTGGCGTCTACGTGATCAGAGAACCTGGCTATGTGACCATCGCCCGACACATTGTTGAAATGGGTAATGACGCGGAATCTCATACTTTTCAACTATTCTTATATTTACGGAAGCTGTAAAATGCAGTACAAAGAGGAGTTTGTCTTCATATTTTATTACTTGGCTTATTTAAGGAATGGATACAAAATTTCTCAAAGATTTCATTGGAAAAATGATTTGTATACACCAATGACTTGGACATTTTTGGTGGTAATGATTGATGTAATATAATATAGTCTTAAAAGAGGTAAAATAAATCTTATATAAGTATATAAAATTTCATAACAAATATCATTAATTTGTTAAACAATTTTAAGAATGCTTAAATACTTTCAAAGTAGTGGGATTATTATTAGAAATATTTTAACTTGTATGTCGTTTTGGAGTATAGAATGTTTAATGGAGAAGATTTGACAATTTTAGGACCTTTATTTCCAAATAATAAAAAAGAAATTTTTTTCTAAGGTTAAAGTCATGGTTTGTACTTAAGCTTCTTTGAAAAGACCTTAATCTACTGACGAATTTTAGGTGACGTATGAGTTTACTTATCAAATAAATAAACTATTATACTTGTTTACAGTTTCAAGATATTTGAAATTACTATGTAATGTAAATATATTGTGTACTAAAAAGATTTGTAATGTTCGTATGCAATTTAGTACTTATTTAATAGAAACTTCTTTATTTACTTATATTTCCTTCTTTTTAAAATTACAATGAACAAAATACCTTGTCCCGACTGAAAGTGCATTTATATTA